TTTTAATAAATGTATAAAAATCAAAATGTTAAACATCACAGAAACTAATTTTTATTATTTTTATTTATTCTATACTATTTTGTCTGTTAAATTCTTAAATAAGTTTTTCTACGTATTTAAAAAAAAAACATTTAATCTATAAACTCTTTAGTATGTTAATAATTAAATTATAAAATTAATATAAGACCTGTGTACAAGGAAAGCTTTAATTAAATCGAACAAATATGAATTGGCTAAATATTGTTAATCATCATAAATTACTATTTATTGGATTTTCTTAAAAAAGTATCGATCAAAATGTTCTGTCTATGTATGTTCACATTTGTTCCTCAATTCAGTATTTAATTTCATGCATGGATAGTTGTATTCAAATTAATTAGTCTGTTAAATATATAAATATTTCAACTTGTCTAAGAGAACAATTTTTTTTTGTGTATAACTATTATAGAACAAATTTATTAAACCACCAAATTCTTAAAACACTTGAAAAATTGTATGTAAAATCTAGTGCAGTTGACAGTTAAATTACTGTATAGATTATTGCTACATAGAATAAATATTTATATACTATTTACCTTATTTTGTTCAGATTACCAGCGTGTTCTTTTTTTATTTTCTTATTTTTATTTTATTAGTGTAATATTTAATTTGGAATAGCAACATTTTATTTTTAACTTGTAATAATATTTTAATTTAATGTATTGTTTACACCTAGTTACAAATCTACTCTAATCATTTATTTAAATAAGTTGTTGGCTTTTACTATTATACATTTGATGATCAAAGTATTTTGTATTGTTATTAATATTGACAACAATGTTTGTGATTTCACTGTCCTTTCAATTTTAACAGACAGTATTATTTACCCGAATTTATCTTTTAATTTTATTATTACAATTTGTTTATGTCCAAGTATCAGCATTATAAATTCTGTTAAATCTACTGAAATATATTATATTGGGATTACAAAACAAATTTTTTTTTTTTATGAACAAAAATGTATATTTACAATCTGTATTTAGAAGTTATACAATAAGTAAATGGGATGTGGTTTGGTTGACCTAACCTTGTGTATTGGAAGTATTACTTATTTGTGTCTCCTTAAAATGCTACAGCATAACCCACAGACCGCTGCAAGTCAGGCAAGACATTTAAATATAATATTTTATATTGATTGCGGACATTACATTATACGTGCATTTTGCATTCAATTTTATTGTAAGGCGTGTTTGATCAAATTCTAGAATACACAATCTCTAGAGCCCTCCGTACACCTGGAGGAAGGTAATAGCGTGATTTTAGTACTTGCATCTGGTATTATCTTCCAGCACTTAAGTGTAGAGAATCATACAGATACCTAATTTTAACATTCAATTTTAATATAACTATCGACAGGAGTCGTTTTTATATTTACTCTAGTTTTGCGTTATTACACTTATGACTAATATTTTTTGAAAGTAAAAAAATAAAATAAGAACATAAATTATGATGTTATAACAATATTATCTACATTTTAGATTCTGAGTGAAACGATGAATGTATTGATTTTACAATGATGTGTGTTTTTTTTTTTTTTTATTTTTTTTGTGTCTGTGTACACGATAAGTAGTCGAAATAATGCTTCGATTTTCGACTTCAGTATCTTGTTCGATTGGAAAGTGAATATTGTTGGTGCATTGGGGAGGTTAAAATTCCCAGTACTTTTCAAAAGCGCCAAAAAAAACAAAAGAAAAATTAAGGAAAAACGGGAATTTTTACGCAAAATCGATTTTTCAGAAAATTGAATTTGGTTTTTGGTGTAACTTTAAAACAAATGACCGTAGATACATGAAATTTTCACTGGTTGTTTATATTTGCATTTTCTATACACGATAACATTTTCAAAATATTTTGATTTATTTTGAACAGTTTAGGGACATTTTCATTTTTCATTTTTTTTTAGTTTTTTTTCTAGAAATATCAATAACATTTTATTTGTTGGTTAAAAAAACTTGAAAATTTAATAGAAGGCTCCTAGTATATTGTTTCAAAGGCAGATGAAAAATATTAAAAATCGTTGGTCACAGTTTTTTTTTATAAGCATTTAAAGTTCAAAAATTGACAAAATATGGAAAAATCACGAAAATTAGCAAATTATTTTGAGTTAAGAATTCGTAAAAATTTTTCTTTTTAAATCTAAGATTTGAAAATGTAATACAAGATTACTCATAAGTTTGTCTACCTTTATCAATAAAAAAATCTCTACCGGACGGTCAAATTAAATTTTTATGAGCGTTTGAAATTCAAATTTTTACAACATTGGATTTTCACTCGATTTCTCATGTAGCGATTTTCTTATTTTGTTGTTATTCATAAACAAATAACTATAGATACATGAAAATTTCACTGAATGTTTATATTAGCATTTCCTATACACCATACAATTTTGAAAATATTTTGACTCTTTTTGAGCTGTTTACGGATATTTTCATTTTTCAATTTTTTTAGTTTTTTTTTCTATGAATATCTAAAGTTTTATCTGTTGGGCCAAAAAGTGTAAAAATTTAATACAAGGCTCCTGATTTATTGTTACAATATCAGTTGAAAAATATTAAAAATACATAGGCACAATTTTTTTTTATAAGCATTTAAACATCGAATTTTGACAGAATTTTTCAAAATCTCGAAAATGATTAATCATCGTAATTAATAAATTATAAAATGTTCAGTTTTTATAACTAAGGATTGAAAATGAAAAACAAGATTCCACGTAAGTAATTAATTCTCTTACCGAAAAATCTAAAAAATATACAATCACAGTTTATTTTTAGTCATTTTATGACTTATGTTCAAATTTGGACGAATAATATTATATAATCACAACAAAATAACTAGGTAGGTTTTTTAATAGGTATGTAATCTATTAAAAAACCTAGTTATTTTGTTTTGATTATATAATATTATTCGTGGGTACCTACTTGAAACTTCTAAAGTGTACTATTATATATCTATGATAGTATCAGGGTTTGTTATTGATGTTGATGTATAACATGTTATAAGTACCTAATGGATATTGTGATAATGTGATATGATTAATTTGGAATTTATTATAAGTCAATTTTTTTTTAATACCATAGATATGTATATAATTTGTCTTAAATCTAGACTGACATAGGTACCGTCTTCGCTCAGAATCGTTTTTCTTATACAATGATATTGTATCATTGAATTCAAATTTAAAAGCATCCATTATACAGTGACCCACTTGTAACCTACTGTACAGCAGAGCGACATCCACTTACCCACCTTTTTTTATTCTTATACGTATATTTTTTTTGCTTTTCAAATTTCTGCTTGGACGGTGTATTTAGTGTCTGTATGGAGAAATTGGATTTGCTGTTTGTTTTTACTATTAGTGGTTAATGCTTATTGCTTATTGTCTATTTTGAAAATATTATACTCGTCCATATTGTCTCAGAAAATTGTTGACTCGTGATTCGTGAACATAGAAAAAAGATTAATTCGTTGATTATGCAACCTATGGTCATCTATATTATGTATATCATAGTTATAATATATTTAATAAATATTATAAATTATATTTTTTTTGCACAATGTGCTTGTAACGGCTGTAACAAATATTACACCTCGTAGGTTTTAAAGAATTCAATCGCCAATAATATGTTTATTTAGTTGATAAGGTCATAAAAGATCAAAGATATCTTGTGTACCTACGTACAGACTACCTAGTGTATTCAATACACCTATAGTACCTTAGACCTTGGTAAGTAGGTACTAACTACTAATTTCTGGACTAATTATTTTCAAGCGATTAGGAGAGATTGCCCAGTGTAGCTGAACGATAACGACTGAACGAACTCGTTTTTACTTATTTCATCTTCATCATCTCAATTTACTTTAAAGCCACTGAACTTAATAATTAATACTTTATACAGTTTCAATTTTGTAGTAGGTAGCACCTAGTCAATAGGTAGACCCATAATATAATGAACATTGGATTGAACTGATTTAGTGGTCGGCGGGTGAGGAGGATGCGTATCACGATGTGTGCATCATACATTCATAACTATAGTCTATAATATTTATAGTTAATTATATCATAGATAGACCCATAAACCATTGGACAGAGAGAAAGGATTAAGGAGTTCGATAGACTAGAGAAATTCGTTGGACTAAACCGGTATTAAAAATAATGCACCGGGATGTTTAGACCCATTTACATGGTTTGGACCAATTTATAAACCGGTCTAGTTTAGCGAATTTCTAGAGTGAGCGAGAAAATGTACAAAGTAGTAGTAGTAAAATACTAAAATGTATACAGTTCCTTAGATGGGCTCTTTCACTACTTCATGTTCTCTCTCTCAGTTATATGGTTAAATGATCGACTAAATAGCATTGATGGCAGGACGGTGTGGAATGCACTGTTCATTATTTAGTTTATAGCTTAGATTATTGTTCTGTGCTTAGATCATAATATTATTATTTAAATATTATGATCTAAATTCTAAATTCGAAGGTTTATAGCCTATAGGTCTATATACAACTATTGAACTATGGTACATGGTAGTAGCATAGAACAATATGGTATTATGGTAGTACTCTAGGGTACATAGTTCAGTGTCTCAAGCACCAATCACCTTGCTAGTTGCTGGACTCGATCTATGGCCAACCTGTAAACACTCGGCCGGTCGATTGGCAGTAGTGCCGCGGTAGAGTTCACACGGAGGTTAATATATCAATTGATAATATTATGTTCTTTACCATTATCTTTATAGTTTATTGTACATAGCATGAACTACTACTACTGTAGTAGTTCATGGTACATAGTACTATAGTAGTAGTAGTACATTTCTACATTTCTTCGAGCTACTAGTTAGTAGTTAGTAGTTAGTTACTACTTACTGTTGGACGTTGGTAGTTGGTTGATGATAAACAGTCTTTTACTTAATTTAGTATCCACCGAATTTTGAATCGTCACCTTTACAATATATTTTATTAAAATGACAGAACCATCTCCTAAGAAGTCAAAAATGTCGTCGCTGGGTCAGCTCAAGAACTTTACCGTTGTCGTGGCTGATACGGGAGATTTTGAAAGTACGTATCTTATTACTTGACCGGTATAATACAACAAAATAATAAATACCTATAATATATGTCTATAACTGTTAAAGTATTATACACATATACCCAAGTAATTACTATTATAACTTTCAACTCGCCTACTATTATTAAGGTACTTGGGCACCTACTGAATTTTGCCACTTGTTGCATGCTGATAATTTAATATTTTTTGTTTTTATACCACTTAATCATTAGATTTTTAATCAATTTGAAACACTATTATTTTAAAATTTGTTTCTAAAAGTATTTAAAATGTATAAAGTGACTTAATTTATTTCATCTGCTGTAGTCACCTAATTTTTTTAGTACCTTTCACTTTCAAGTTTCCCAGTTGTATAATGTGTTTAGTTTATCTCTTACAACACTTTATAAAAAAGTAAAAGTAAGATTATGCAGGTAGAGGTGCTGCTGTATCTGTTGTAAAATGTTTTAAGCATTTTATAATTCACAGTTAACTGTTGGTAGGTACCTATATACAACAAAATATCTACTACTTACCCTAGTAGTTGTAAAGAGATTTAGTTGTAACTTTAAAAACCATGGTTATCCATAGTAATTGTATTTGTTATTTTTATTTTAAAATATAACCTATAGAAGTTATATTTCTTTATCTCATTAAGATTAAATGCCCTTGAACTTTGTACCATTTATTGAATATTATATAGTATAGCCGTGTAGGTAAAACAAGATAAAAAAATACAAATACAAATTGTTTGGTTTGAATATTGTTAGATTAATTGTAATTAATTAAAATAAAATAGGTATATTCTTTGAATATAAAATAGCGTACAAAATAATCAGTTTTTTTCTATGATTGCCAATAAAATTTTATTTGTCTGGTAAAAAAGCTTGAAAATGTAATACAAGGCTTTTAATATAATTATATTGTTATAATGACATTTGAAAAATATTAAATTTACAGTGACAAATATTTCTTATAAGCATTTAAAGTTCAAATTTTGACAAAATACGTAAAAATCACGAAAATGTGCAATTATTTTTGAGTTAGAAATACATGAAAATTTTATTTTTAAATCTAACATTTGAAAATTGAATACAAGATTCCTCATAAGTTTGTCTACCTTTATGAAAAAGAAATTCCTACCGGAAAGTCAAATTAAATTTTTACATCATTGGTTATTCTCTCATTATAGGCATGTAGCAATTTTCTTATTTTGTTGTAATTCAAACACGAATAACTGTAGATACTCGTACTTCAATTTTACACCATATAACAACTTATCAATTCCCATACTTGATGAAATATACAAAATATTTTGACCGTTTTTGAGCTGTCTACGGACATTTTAAATTTTTTTTCTTTAATTGTCAATAAAATGTCATTTGTTAGGTCAAAAAGCGTCAACATTTAATACAAAAATCCTGCTATATTTTTACTTTACCAGTTGAAAATTTTTTAAAATTAAGTATAAGTAAAATTATTTTTATAAGCATAGAAAGATCAAATTTTGGCAAAATGTGTCTAATTTTGAATTTTAAAATTATTTTGTAGTTAAAAATGTAGAAAATGTTTAGCTTTTATAGCTAAAAATTGACAATTTAAAACCAAGTTCCACGTAAATAGGTAAATAAATTAATAAATAATTAATATGTATAATTAACAAAAATATCATCAAATATACTTAGTAATATTATAGCCTGACTGCCTGTCAGACTGTCTTTGTTCAGAGAATCGTTTTTCTTATACAATGATATTGTATCATTGAATTCAAATTTAACACTATCCATTACAGACTTCAGTGATCCAATTGTAACCTACTGTACAGCAGAGAGACACCCACTTGCCCACCTTTTTTTGTTTGAGCACCCCCTGATAAAATCTTCTGGATCCGCGCCTGGGAAATATGATAATATTTATTTTTCGAAATGTCAAAATGATAAAAATAATTTTATACAGGTACCTATTAATTAGGTATTTTCTTAAATAATTTGTCAATTTTCTAGATTATATTTATTGCCTAGTATTATTTATAACTTGTATTATTAGCGAGTAACATTTTTAAAAGTTACCTAATTATTTAATTTTAAATAATCTATTCAAATTTTTTTCTAGCCATGAAAAAGTATAAACCTACTGATGCTACCACAAACCCAAGTCTTATACTAGCAGCAGCCAAAATGCCTCAGTACAAAGATTTGATATCAAAAGCTCTGAAATTAGCTGTTGCAAATGGAAAGTTAGTATGAACTCTACATGTATCAGTATTTTTTGTAGATTCAATAAACAATTTAAACTGAACTATAACATATTCCATCAATTAATAAAACTTGAAAACAAGTTAAGAAATCTTAAGTGTAATATAAAATAAACATGCACATGACATACATCACATGAAAATAAACCAAAGTTAAATTAAAAACAAACGGCATACTTGTAATGTTAAGGGAGAATTAGAAGTGCTGATTTTCTGTCTTTATTTAACTCACTTGAAACATAAACATTTTAATGTGTTCTTTTCCAACATACCAATTGATCTTGTGAAATTATAAGAACTCTAAAAACAGATATCTTGAATTTATCGCAAACCCTATTTGAGATAGACTTTTCGCTTTTTTGATTATAACTTCTTCAAAAATTGAAGTGTAAACATTTTTTTATAGAATTTGAAAAATTTTTGTGGAATTTAAAAATCAAAAATATGGTAAAATTGATCTCAATTAGTCTTAACAACAAATTCAATTATTTTACATAATTGTTATCTCTTTACTAGATCAATTATTATGTGAGAATTACATCAGGTCTTAATTCTTATTTACATATTATGCATATTGTGTTAAGTTATTTAAGTCATTGATTATAAATACTATAGATTGCTCACTGGCCGGTTTTTCGGTGTCACAAAATATTGACAGCACCCAATCGGCACCCAATAACACGGCCGCCCGGTTTAGTAAGGTGTGGTACATTGTAATCAAGTAGCACTTCGCCTCACTATCTACCGGGAGTAAATGTTTTGTACCACCGAAAAATCTGCCAGTGAGCAATTTATAGTATTCATAATCAATGCTAGTATATTTAGTATATGTAATACTATTATAGGTATTTACTCAATGGCTAAATTCATGTATTTATGAATCTATGTTTTAAAATGTATTGTACTGATCACAGGACAATTGAAGAACAAACCGAAGAAGCCATGGATAATCTTGTTGTGTTGTTTGGTACTGAAATTCTATCTCTAATTCCAGGACGAGTGTCCACTGAAGTTGATGCTAGGTATGGTTTAAAATACAAATGGCTAATAATTTATTATATTATTTAAATTATAACTCGTTATTTATTTAAGATTGTCTTTTGACAAAGAAGCAAGTATTGCTAAAGCTATCAAATACATTGAAATGTATGAAAAGGCTGGAATTGCCAAAGAACGTATATTAATTAAATTAGCTTCTACGTGGGAAGGTATTCAAGCAGCTAAGTCAGTATTATAAACTATTTCTCTAATTATTCACAATTATCAATGTAAACTAATGTTTATATAATTTAAAATATTTTTCAGAGTTTTGGAACAAGAACATGGAATACATTGTAATTTAACTTTATTGTTTTCACTTTATCAAGCCATCGCCTGTGCTGAATCAGATGTCACTTTAATATCTCCTTTCGTTGGACGTATTTTGGATTGGTAAATTTAATTGATTAATTTTAAATATTGAATAGTTTTTCTAGTTCTTTTTCCTTACAATATTATTCTTGAGATTATTCTTGTTTACTAGATACAATGTCAAATTGCAATAAATTACAAAAAATGTCATGAATCATATATATTGTGTTCCGTAAGGATGGGATTTCATTCCTAGTATAATAATATTATGCTCTCTGTATTAATATTTTTGCCATTTGGAATTGGCTTGGCAATTTTCCATTTAGGTGAAATTTTTTTAATATATTAATTAATCAACGTAGTTGTAAAATATTAGTTTTTTTTAAATATTTATTATTCATTTTAGTGTATTTCATGTGATTAAAACTAAATTTAAATGTTCACATACTATTGCAACACTCTTCCTTCTCACAACATAATCCAACATATTATGGTTATGAATTCGTTCTTCTTTCATTAACATTTAGTGCCGTGTGAACAAACAGTAATCACAGATTGGACTATGACAAATTCTTAAAAGTATATTGTGCTTGCTTACATCTAAGTTAAAAATAAATATGTAATAATATGCTGTTTTCTTTCAATTTGTCTGAAAGTATTTTTCGTTTTATGTGGACAACATTTTATGGAATTATAAACATAAATATTATATGTAAGATGTTAGTAGCTGCTGAACTTACTGCTTCTTACATAACTAAAAATACCTATTATCGACAAATATTTAAATAATCATTTAATATATAGGCATGTTGCAAACACTGACAAGAAAAGTTTCGAGCCTTTAAAGGATCCCGGTGTACAATCAGTAACTAATATTTACAATTATTTCAAAAAATTCAACTATAAAACCGTTGTGATGGGTGCATCATTCCGTAACATTGGTAATATTGGTACATTATGTGTTTTGAATTAATTAATTTTAATTATGAATTGTTTGAATTAGGTGAAATCAAAGCATTGGCTGGATGTGATTTGTTAACAATTAGTCCTAAGCTACTTGAGGAATTAGAATTGTCTAATGAGCCACTCACGGAATATTTAACAGTGAAGAATGGTGAATATTTATTTAAATATTTAATTTTACACGAGCTGTGAATAATGAATTTGACTTTAGGTAAAGCATCGGATTTGAAAAAAATTGAAATCGATGAAGCCAAGTTTCGTTGGGAAATGAATGAAGACAAAATGGCCAATGATAAGTTGTCTGAAGGTATAAGGAATTTTGCAGCTGATTCTCGTAAACTTGAGAAAATTCTTACAGAGATGTTGAATAAAATCAATTAAAATATACACTGATAGTGTCACATTTTTATGTTATTGGGATCAAAATGTTATTAAGTGCGATGATTTATACTTTAAATTCAGTTAATATTATTACTTTTAAAATTATATGTATTGTTGAGAACAATTTAATTTAAAAAAAAAGAATGAATTGTGTTTATTTTGTTATACCTACCATTCAATTTTTATTTGTGATAATTGTTAATGACCCATTTTTAGTTCACAAATTAAATATAATATATTATTATATGTATTTAAAACATTTTTAATAATATATTTTATATAAATTATTTTACAGTAACTTGAATAACAGATTTCGTTCTTACTTGGCACTTTTTTTTTATTTTATGAGGTTTTAAAGTTTTAGTTCAACATTGAACTTAATAATTGATAATTTTTTAAGTTTTATTGAGAATTGAACAGATCGGCTCACTGTAGAGATAACTTATACAATGGGCTAAAGACAGCACGATAAGTACCCGATCGTACACCTATACTATAATATTATTTTATACAATAATATAGTATAATATTTTAAATTTGAATGCCGGGTTTTCACTACTGCACAGTTTGTGTTGTGTTCATAAATCTAATATGTTGCCACGTTGGTAATGTAGGTTCTATCAACATTCTGTCTCATATGTATAAAATATACACAAAACTATAAACGAAGTGGAAACCCAGCTTCAGTTTTAAGGTATCATCGAGATCTTGTGCGTCCGGACGCGTAGAATAACTGCCAGCGTTTTCGGCTGTTTAACGGCTGTTTTCCTTTAATATTCAAACTCAAATGATGTGTGGTTACTGCGTAATGCGTATTGTACATTTGTACCAATATTCCAAGTAAAACCACCGTTAAACACTATGTACCAAAACCAATGGCGGATTTAGTGAGGTTGCTATAGCACCCCCTTAGACCTTGTTGACCTTTATTTTTGTTTGGTAAGAAAATATTATGTTAGGCATTTATCGTAATTTTTGTGTCCGATAAATATTTAGAAGCCTTCCGACCTGAACTGCAAAACCACGAAAAAACGTCGCACCCGAACAGTGATGGTGGAATATTGTCTTAAGGAAACGTGTGTCAAGTTGTACAGTAGGACCATCGTTCTATGGTAGGACACTGGTGTGTTCCGTATATTTATAGGTATGCAAATAACACACTAATACGTCATCTACAAGTTAAATGGGTATATCCAAGTATCCAACTCTAATCGACATGGTGTATTGGCATGGTGTATTGGCTGGTATAGTCGGTGGAAACCCTGTTCTAGTCAGAGAAAACGAGGTTGTCGCCGGGCTTTATCTCCTCGACCACATTGTGCCGTTCGATTCTCGATTAAAAAACCTATACCAAAATATACACATAATATAATAAAATTCTACTGTATTCTATTATAGGGGCAGGTGACAATTTTAATTTTTAAGCTACACGAACACTGCGTGAAAAGGGCCGGATTTGACCCTTCTTAATATGCCGCCCCTTCCCTCAGAAAAAAAAAAATGTAGTATTTATTACTAATTATTGTTTGATACCATCTTAATGACTTTTAGGAACAACTCATAATATATATTTAAGCAGTTACATAAATGCATAAAATATTTATATGATTTTTTTTTCAATTTTTTACAAAATTTGTCGCTCTTGGCCTGGACTATATAGAAAGTTTCTATTTGAAACCCATTTTAAATATAATTATTTTATTTTGTACAAATTAAGGTTTTTATATAGAACAAAAGATGATAATCGAAAATAACCAACAGTTACTGACTTATCTATTATTGAAACGAAGTTTTTATGGCACGATGCGGGGCTAGCCGGGAAAAAACGTTCCTGATGAAATACCTACTATAATTTATAATATTATATTAAACAGTTATTTTAGCCAAAACATCCAATTTTTATTCCATCATACTGATCGATCTAGTAATGCGATAATACTTTTTAAAACAGATTTGAATTCATTATTATGTCTACTTGAGATTGGTCAGTCCACTTTTCCCAATTTCACCCCCCCCCCTCCCCCGCCTCTAAAGATTTAGCTTGAATATTTTAAAATTTCCGAATTTTCAAACGTTGTTTACTCGGGACTTATTCGGAATTTAAAGCAGGAAACTTAAAATGTGGACTGACCGATCTCAAATAGACATTCATTCTATCGAATTCAGATCAGTTTTCTGAAATATTAAAGCATTATTAGATCGATGGGTCATGGGTAGGATGGAACAAAAAAATAAAGCGGGAGCGGTAAGTTGGAGGGACGGTTATAAATATCTTGTGTATATTGATAATATATATCACTACACTATGTATATTAATATATTATGCGTTCATAAGTATTATAATTAATATTAATATTAATACAATATATAAGTAATACCTAAGTATATTTAACTATTTAAGTATATAATATGTTAAGTGGAAATGTTTAAAAGTGACGGGTGGTAAAGTGGAAATCCCCATTAGTGCTGAGCGCGCATATCGCACGTATTCCCTGTACCACTAAGGCACTTCAGAAGTTACTTCTGTTTTCTATAGTGCTCTAGCACAACCAGAAACTGAACTCATCTATACCACGGTCGGACGGTCCTTACAAAACAGAAATTTTTGGTTACATCTTAATATCTTATATACATATTATAATCTCCTTGCATGACGAGTAAACATTTTTATTTCATGGAATTGTTTTCGTAGAATTATCTGATTGTTGCCTATATCCTTGCATAGTGAGTGCATTACCTTTGCCAGAATTACATATTTTTGTGCGTCGCGTTTGGTATAGAAAACGGTATAACGCGAGAATTTGAAACAGCCGAATTAGGACTGCATATTATGCATTTATAATTATTATAACAATTTGGTGGTGACTTTAATAACAAATTTAATGATAAGAAATCGTAGACATTTGAAACTTTCCTAATGGACACATTCAATTTACATTAATTGATAAACAATCCAGCAGAATCTACAACGATAGATGACACCACTATTGATGCAATGATGCAATATTTTCAAGATATTTGGAAAAAATGACATCACAAATATACTGATCCTATTTCAGTATCACAGCCCACAGGCCTGTAATTTCGATTATTGAATATGATTAATTAATATGATATGCATATAATAGTAATTAAATAGTACCTAATAATAATAATTTTCATTTTTATTCATTAGGGAAACATACTAGGATATTTCGGTCTTCGATTAACGATATAAATTTAAAATACTATGTTAAAGATCCGTAAACAATTTTTTGACTTGTGGTATTAATATATTGTTAAAAAGAACAGTAAGTCAGTAAGAAATAATAATTTATATAAAAAAATGAATGGTTTTAAATGTAATCTATTCCTATTTGGTGAATATTTTACTCTGCAAAAAAAAAATGTGTAGACTCCAGCATAAACATGGACGAGGGCACACAGGGAAAATCCACCCCTGTTTGTATGGCCTTTTTTGTTAAATTTCCTGTCAATTTCTCTATATGTATTTAATTATTTATTTATTACTTTTACTATAGGAGGTATCTTTGTATTTCTGAATTTGGAATAATAATATTACATTTGGCTCATTGTGCTTTGGTATATTAAATTATAAAAATAAAAATATATAATCGTAGATTAGTGTGTGGGCCGTGGGGCAATAGGTAGACACAGGAGATTTCGATGCCCTCGTCAGTCGCTGGGGACTGCTATTCGAGATTTCATACTCTGCGGAGTGCGGACAGATGTGCCGGAAAATTTTGGGCAGTAAAATCGTAGCTGGTCCTGCTAAACCTGTTCGCGAAGCACTTGTAACATAATACGCATATTACATTTATAATGTACTGCACTCTTGTTCGAGGCCTGTCGAAAGTGGCACATTTTATCAAGAGGAGATTAAGAGGATATAATATCGTATATGCATAAAATATTATAGTTATACATATTTATTATTTAGAAATATAGAATTTAGATATAAGGCTAGGCTTGGGAGTCGGGAGGATCCAAGGATATACCATGTCACAGGCAATATGGAAAATAGAGCAATGTGAACATCGAATAAGCAATTTTTATACAATTAATATAGTTTTATTTATTATTGAAATATGTATACCAATTACCAATATTAGGTACATTATTTATATAGAGCAATGTGGTAGGAAATAAGTAGTAAGTAATAACTAATAGATTATTTTAGATTCTGAACAGAGCGATGAATATATTGGTTATTACTTATTACCTATTTATAAATAAATGTACCTATTAATTATACTTACACACTATGCGCGTATTCGTTGTTCTCGATTCGTACTAATTCGTCTTTTTTTATATTTACGAACAAGACCCTATGTCCCTAGGGTGCACTGTTTCGTGTACCTACCTATGTCCTATATGGTAAATTCCGATATTCGTGATTCACGAATCACGATTCACGGTTTTTCTATTTGTGGTGATTCATAGATATTCGTCAATAGATCCCCCGCCAAAATATTATATTTTAGGTTACGAATTATAGATAGCTGATACTCTGGTAGGTACTTTAAAATGCACATAATACTTAATACATATGATTAAGAACGTATAAATGTTAAATTAAATTTATTTGTTCCAAAATGGTTTTAAATATGGTTATAATATTAGATTTTATTTAAAAAACTAGTAAATACGCCAACAATTTTTTTTTAATAAAACCCCTTTAAACCCCTTATAATTTATTTATTATAAATGTATTTGTAACTTATTACCTACTATACCTAAACCATTAAAACATTATATATAATTAATAATATATTGATATTGCGTTGATTTCAATTATTAAACTATACTAATTTTATTTCTCAGGTATTAGAGGTATCGCACTGGTATCTATGTCAATACATTGTAACTTAAGTTGAACAAAATAGGAAAATACAAATACCTAGTACCTACTATCTAGTGATTGAAACTTTGATACTACTGGAGTCTGGAAGTAGTAATATTATTATAAATTAAATAAAATACAATAGTTTTTGTGTAGT